ACTTTTCTGATAATCCAATATAATGCTTTTTAATGAAGCTCAGTTGAAGTAAAAGTATGATCTCCAGTTTTTAAGACTTTCATGTGTAAGACAGAAAAGAGCTATTTATTTAGATATAAATGTTAGATGTCAGGTATTAATAGATTTAATTTCCAAAATGAAGAAAATTCCCTTGATAACTATGCAACAACCTGATTCATTATTTAATAACCTCCTCGGCCATTAGCATGTGCAAGCAGAAACCTGAAACTAAATACCGAAAAGAAGCAAAAGATTAGAGCATGAGAACTGGAGTTAAATGTATCTGCACTCCACGTTGGCTTTGCCACTTACGAGCTATGTGAGCCATGACATCCTCATTTTTGCACAGTAACAATAATACCACTGCCTTTTAGGATTCATTTATATGAATTCTGCAAAATGATTATCACAATATCTAACATAAGGTAGGCACACAAATACGGTACCAGGTTTTATGGATTAGGTAGGACAATGGGCACAATGGATTGCAACTTCTCCTTTGATTCATCTCCATTAAATTGTCTACTCATCTCCAGGTTCACATCCCCCACCCAGGAGTGTACTCAACTGTAGATGATCGATTTTGTTTGGTCGTAGGTTGAGAAAAAAATCGTTCTAAAAAATGTTCCATGTCCTTGTACCTGATGGGTCACTGAATCATTCAGTGATACTTTTATTCAATAGGGTAATATCATTCAGCTGTAAAAGCAGAGGGAATAGTCTGGTTGTAAAGGACTCCCTGGTTTACATACCTATCTCTTTTCACATTAATATTGTTCAAGTCCTTGAATGGAGGTAGTATCTTGAAAATTTATGCAATCTATGTATTTCCTACTTCATTTTGCTTGAATAGACTTACTTAAGAGAGAAGGCACTCCCCTGGGGGCATAGAAGTAACTGTGGATCTGGTCAGCTCAGCAGACATCAGTAGTGATCTCAGACCTCACACCATATGGGGAAGCTCATAACTGAGAAGTGAGCAGTTCAATACCTCTAAAGTCAGAAACAAGCCCTAAGTCTTCCTATGTAAGGCTTGGCAGTGGTGGACAAATGTCAAACAGCTTCGTATAAACATCCCATGTAACTTAGGCATCACATTAAGAGAAATGACTTTAATGATCCCATCCTCATTGCAGCAGTTACCTTTTTTTATGAAACACTGACAGAAAACGAACAAAATTATCCCACACGGAACTGAAACTAAAACTGCCATCCAAATGGGGTGTCGTTCAAACAGGTCATCTGAAAAACAGGGCGGTGCAATTTGAAGATCAATAAATCCACAACATGGAGCACCATTGGTTTAGGAATTGTGCTGGAAGTAAAGCAGGAGTCCCCCTCAGGTCCTGCATTTTCTTTACATTTTGTATTTAGATTGGGACTAAGGAATGAGTGGAGCTGTTTTAGTGGCTAGTATAGAGCTTGGGATTGAGCTTGTTTTGGGGATAGAAGTTAAATTGAGACTACAGTGGATTGAAAGAAGTCCCTCTCTTGCCTCTTACTAACATTCCAGTACAAATGCTTCCTGGTTATGAAGCAAACAATCAAGCAGAACTCTGGACACCATAACTCATGCTGGTAGTTGAGCAGCTCAATGGCTGTAAGACAGTCTCAGAATGGTCTCTAGTGAGCTCCTAGGGTGTAAAGATAATGGAGACAGATAGGTCTCTCTTTCCTTTCAAGCTTTGCATTTTTTTTTAATAAGGTCTCTCTAGTACAGCATATTCCATTAAAATGTTTATTGTTTAATTTTTAGCATTTAACTTCTACTCCATATGATATTTATTTCTGTATATGGTTGTACATATGAGTTTTTTTCCAGATGTATAGTCAATTATTGCAAACCCATATAGAAACTTTTTCACCTTTTTGTTAATGCATTAAAATTCATACTTTATAATTTCATATGCGTTGTTTCCTTATGATTTGGCTCTCTTCTCTTTCTACCCTTCCTAAATGTTATTATCGATACAATGGCCGATTCCTTTTACAAAATAATATTCTATGATCAGGAATTGTCAAAAATTATTTAACTCTTCACATTTTCATAATCACTTTATGATTTAAACACATTCCAGACAGAAATTCTTTGGAGGTCTTCAAAAAAGTTGGATAAAGCAATTTCCAAGTTAGTATGGAAGAATGAATATCTATAAATGGCAGGGAAAAAGTTTAAAACAATAAGGAAGACTTTCCTTTATCAGATAAAAAACTAACTATAATAAAATGATATATTGATTTTGGATTATTTTCATTTTCATGGAGGTAAATTCAAAATTCAGTACACCTTCACAAATATTTGTGTCCTTGTTTGGGCTTTTAGACAGAATACATATTGTTTTTCAGGTAGGTTCTGCATCTGCCTGTAACTCTATGTATTTTATGGCTAATGCTAAGCATATGTTATTTTTCCCAGATTTTCCTTTGGGGATTTACCTCTTATTATTATATCCCTATTCTAGTCTATAATTAAGAATATATCTTAAATATTTGTCTTCTGGTTGCATAATTGCCTAAATAATATATTTGGTACTTTTGAATTTAGCAACATTATTTTTGATAGTTTTTTTTAAAAAACAAAGTTTACCATGAAATGTTTTCATAGAGTGAAAGTTTATTTTATGTTAAAATTTAAAATCTGTAATAATATTAGTGAATTAGATAAAAGTCTGAGAGCTGTATTTATTAGGATGTGAAAAATTATAACAATATTGCTCATATAGTCCATGAAAACCTTTTATTCCAAAATGTATTATTACATAACCCAATTTTAAATACTATTCATTTAATTGTATCGAATATGGCTCTTTTTCTAAAATATTGTGCTTATTTTATAGCCTATTCCAATTTGTATCCTATATGAAATAATTGAATTTACCTATATAATCTTTATAAATTTGCATAAGACACAACTATCTTTACTGAAACTATAAGAAACATTAGAAAGATTAAAATAGAAATTACCTTTTATCATTGATAAAAGAGAGATCAAAATAAATACTTCTAAATATTGCTTTTTGCCTGTTGTGTTTCTATTCTTCCTATTTCTCTCCCTACTCCTTTTCAGATACTTTGCATGTTTCTCTTAATAATCTAGAGGACATCTAAAAGGTGAATGCTCTAAAATTCAGTTGTCGGGTTTTGTTTTGTTTTCTCTGTTCTCATTCCTGTTGTGATCTTATACAGTTTCACAGCTGTAAATATTTTTCACAGGTTGAAGACATTCACATTCCATCTCAAGCCTGGTCTCCTCCACAAAGCTTGAAACTCTTATATCTAACTCATAGTCAAAATTTTCCCTTGCAAGTCTTATATGCATGGTCTTAGCTCTAAGATATGCTCATCTCACAGTCGTACACTTCTCAGTACATGAAAACTTATCTTTCATGACACAGGCTCCTAACCTTAGAATCATTCTTTATTCCTCCCTTTCTCTTCACATATTCATCCATCAGTAAATCTCATCAGCGCTACATTTAAAATATATATAGAATCTTGTCAGTTCTTACCATCTTTTCCTCTATAGCTATACCTATTTCCCAGATCATTGTTATACACGCCTATCTAGGCAGGGTAACATTCTTTTTTTTTCTTCTTTCTTTCTTTCTTTCTTTCTTTCTTTCTTTCTTTCTTTCTTTCTTTCTTTCTTTCTTTCTTTCTTTCTTTCTTTCTTTTTTTCTTTCTCCAGTCCATGTTCTAATACTCCAAGAAAATTGGAGAGAATTTTTAAAAGAAAGACTTATGCCCTCAATCAGCCTAAAAAGAGATTCCCTGAAGTGACATCTGAAGACACAACACTACTCCTGTAATCAACCTTGATTTCTCTGCATAGATGTTAGCCTGGCATATCTTTGTCACACATAGGACATAGCCTTTTTCTCTTTGGCCTTTGAGATCCACCCACCATGCTTCTGAGGACTGATATAATGACCAATAATCATAAAACCTGTGCTTTAGTTCCACATTTTACTTATTATTGGTTTGATTGGTTTTTCTTAACATCTGTCTACCTATAAATGGCCATGATAATCTCTCCCTACTGAATTTTCAGGAAGTTCTAAAGACAGTGGTAATACTGAATAATACATGATAGTAAGCAAAAATTTTTGGTTCTGTTAATACATTTGAGAGTCACAAAAACCCATGAAGTATGGTTATAGCCGTTTCTAAGATGAGAAAACCATAGTTAGGAAGGTAAATGACATCCTTTAAGTCACTGAGCTAAAAACTTGTTAAGCTTACACATAAATCCTATGAATGTAAAGAGGGCTCTATAATAAATCAGTGACCAAAAGCGATCTCACAGAGTGATCTGATCATAAAGTTCCAACTGGGCAGGTCATGTTGGGGAGTCACACCCCAGGTCTATAACTGCTTTAGTAAAAAGTTTATCTTCACCCTAAGGAAGCCCTGTCCATTGTTCTTCTGCATCTAGATGAAAACACCTGTGAAATGCCAGAGTAATTCTCTTTCTCAGACCCCTACTGGGGTAACCATCCTGAAGGGAGTACATCATTGTGTTCACTATCCTATAACCTAACGACAGAGATTTCCCCGGCTTGCTTTTTCCCACTTTCATGTAATGTTTCTTATGTTCCCTCCTTAATTCCAAACGTATAAAAATAACTGCAAAACTGTCATTCTTGGGAGCATTTGAGATATTGCTTTTTGGCATGTCCTCAGTTTGGCTCAAATGAGCTCTTATAAAAATTCTCTATATATTTGGACGTTCTTGTGTTGACAATATTCTGAGCTTGTAATGAGATAATGGACCCCAAGTACCTTTAAAGCTGTAGTGTGTATTTCAGTTATGGGCTGTCCTTATCCTTCTTCTAAGTTTTTTTATTCTACAGCCCTCATCTCAGTACCTGACAATATCTGTAGTACCAGAACTCATAACATTATAAAGCTTTTTAATATTAATTATCTCATTAATTTTATGTTGCTTTATTGACAACCAAAGCTTGCCAAACACTTACCAGCTAAGACGATATTTGTCTGTTTACCTTCACCTATTAGAGGGTTGCAAATGTAGCAAATCATATTGCCCTGTGATTTGTTTCTGAGGAGAAGAGTCATCTTCATGTGGAATAATCCGGCTCCATCCTTCGAATAGGATTTTGATGAATGTGGAACTACCTCTCCCTTGTTGTCTCTCCACTCCATCTGGGGCTGTGGGAACCAGCCTCCTGAGTCACACTCCACCATGAGCCCATTGGCGCCAGGAGCCTGAACATGGATCTGTGTCTCTAAGCCTAATGCTGGATGAATGAGACAGAAAACAAGATAGTTATTGTACTGAGGTTGCATTGAAAGTTGAAAGAAAAACAGTCTCATTAATCTTGTATTCTGCAATATAAGAAGGGGTAATACTCAAATCCACATCTAAGCAACAAGTTAGACGAGCTCTGGTCACTCAGCACTATCTACTGTATTTTGCCATGTGTAATGTACTCCCATGTATAATGCGCACCCACGTTTCTGGCCCAAACTTTCAGAGAAACAAAATCATTCGTTTTAATTTTTTAATTCAAATTTTTATTTGTTTACATTTAAATACTTGTTATTTGTATTATAAAGGGATTTTAGCATTTCCTTTTAACGTATTATGGTACAAGAAATTTTACATAATAAATACTGACAAACCACAAGAACACATACAAAGTATAAAAAAATTTATGTACCAGTAACTAATTTATGATATTTACATATTATAGAACAGCAAGAACTCTTCCTCATTGTAAGTTCATCATAAGTTCAACAAAACCGATTATTGTATCCCAGGGTATTATTTTGCATACGGATATCATTATTGATTTCTAGAGTTACACTTTTAACACATAAGCATAAACAAAACAATTAAAAACATTTATATAGATACAGAATTAGTACTACCCATGTGTAATATGCATCCTTATTTTTTCCCTCACAAATTTGGGTAAAAAAGTGTGCATTATACATGGCAAAATATAGTATTCACTGCATAGTTTATTTTTACAGTAGACATATGTGATTTTCTTGTTATTTTTAATACTTGAGATACATTATAAAATATTTTTAAAAGACAAGAAATAAAAAGAAAAAGATTGATATAGTTTCCACATAGTTAAGCTCATGGAATCATAAGGCTATTGGTATGCAGTGTTCCACCATAATCCTTACCTGCTACACTCAGGTTCATGCTGGCCACATCATTGAAGTCACTGTCCTTAAATGAACACTGGTATGGTCCATTATCAGAAATGCTGATGTTATGAAGTCTGAGAGTCACTCTGCCCTCCCCAATGGCCTCTTTCACAAACTCTGTGCGGCCCACATATTCTGGGGCAGCTTCTCCTCTCACTTCCTGGCCACCTCTGTAGAGGTGAACAAGCTTGGACTGGCCACCCCTGAACCAGCCCACCTCCATGTGTTGTGCACTTCGTGGTGGGGACAACTGGCAGCTAAGCTCAGCCTGTCCTCCTACTGTAGCCACCAAGT